GGGGCGCGGTTCCCCGTTCATTGGTGTCAATCCAGCGGAGCGGACTGCCGTAACAAAAGGGTTAATCGATTGGCATCAATCAGGGTCACCCTCGTCAATCAACTAGGTTAAGTTTTCGTCCCTTCCGTACACTTACTTATAAGTTGCCTTCTGTTTACTATGTTCTGACAAGGGAACATTCCCAAGTGTCCGTCTCCGATCTTATTGAGTTTCATATATGTTGAAGAACACAAAAATCTAAGAGACACGTGTTTTTTTTTATATCTGCAACGGTCCACAATTAAGGGGTGAAACAACCCCCCAAAGTTTAGCGAAAAATCGGTTTTTTAAATATTTTGCGTAGGAGCAGTAGAAGGATTTCGATGAAACTTTGCATAAACGTATTCTGTATAAGGACGGTGACAACACAATATTGTTCAGTAATGTTGCACCCCCTCAAGGGGGTGAACTACCCTTCAGGTGACATTCTTTTGTAATATCCATTAAACAAGCACTCCTACTTAAGTTCCACTTACGCGATGTGATTGCTCGCAAAAAATTAAGAAATACGTGTTTTTTGCTTTTTGCCAATAAACATTTACACATCGGTTGTAAACAATGAATGTAGGTGGTATTAGGGTATATCCCGACTACCTTTATTGGGTTATATCGTGACCAATTCATCGTACATAAGTCGTGTCAACGTGGTAATTCTTCAAAATGTCATTGATTTTCATAACATGCAATTATTTATAAATAAGTTAAAAAATAGTTTCACAGGCTAAAATTGTTTCGCAATGGATTCGACGATGCAGTCATCACCCGTTTCCAACTAGTAATACAATCTCCGTGGTGAAATGATAAAATTGGATTTTCACTGTTTTTACGAAAAAATAGAGTCAGCGATATTCGATACCTAAGGTACGCGAATAGTACGTTGAATCAAATCAAATTTGGAGTCGTCTACGCCGACGTGCGTTCTTATAAAGTCTGCACTGGATTCGATGCTGATCAGTTCTGATCAGGACTTCGTCCTTGTGAATTTATTTTATCGACGTGCTACGATATATTTGTGCGGAATGATGTGACGGGCAAGCCCGTCACGCCATTTAAACCGCGCGCCATCGAGCCGGTGGCGCCACCAGGCCCTGGAGCCGCCGGACTGGGCGCGCGGCCGAACGCCGATGCCCTCGCGCCTGCGCGCCCGAGCGCCACCGAACCGGTCCGAAGACCGCCGAATGCCCGGCGGGACGAGGCCCGCCGGGCAGACTTCCGCCTGAGCTGTGACCAAAAGCACGTGTGTCACGACCACCCGCCTACGCCTGAAAGCCTCAACCTCCACCGCTCTGGCCGTTCCGACGACTGCCGACCGGCCGCCGTCCACCCGCCACCGCTCGGAGGCCACACCGCCGACCGCGTGGATCCCGCATTGAGAAGGCCGAGCCCGAAGCGTCCCGCCGATCCTTACCACGAGGCGCCAGCCGTCCGCCATTAGGGCCCCGCCGTCCGCGTGACCATCCGTAGAAGTAAGTAGGTTTAAGTCCGTAAATTAAGAATCGTCAATTAGTTCGTTAGTCAGGTAGGATAATAAAGATAGTGATTTAAGAGTTCCGGGTCTCATTCTCTTCTTTCCCCGGCCTTCCCATTTTTCCCCGTTACAATGATTATAAATCTTATAAACGTGATCAACTTTTTGTTAGCTACGTTTCAAACTTTATATTTAATGGAAACTGAAGTCAATCGACAAGAAACACTATTAACAGAATCTATTCAAAAGATTCTTATAGACAGAATATTCCAGTTTAATTCGTTCGAGATTACCGAAGATTCAACATTGGATTTTCAAGAACCTTTTCAAGCACGGGAGGTTGAGTATGTTGAAGATGAAGAAGAGGGGACTGACGAAACGGTGCCACAACCGTCTTCATCGGTTTGCCAAGACACAGCGGTTAACTTCGACTATAAAAAGAGAGCAGTAGAATTCTGGAGAAGTGGAAAGTCCGGCAATCTCAAATTTGCCACCGTCCAACAACGATTTAGGAAACTTTCTGATGCTCGTGAATTAAGAAGGTGGGCCAACCAAGTGGATGATGGAGGATGTCGAAAAGAAAAATTACTGTATGTCTCTACATTCACGCTGAACAAATTACGAAACGCTATTGACGCTGGTTTTATAGTACATGACGCAGATATTAAAAAATGGGCTCTAGAAGCATGGAGAGAACAGACAAACAACGACATGAGTTTTTAAGCATCGTCAAAATGGTTATATAATTTTAAAAAAGCTCATCGTATTGTGTCTCGAAAAAGAACAAAATTAATTACAAGGAAGACATTGGAATACGGCGCCTATTTACAAAAAGTAACTAGTGAATTTCTAGACACTGTAAGACCACTGATAGCGCAATACGGGTCCGAAAATGTGTATAATTCCGACCAAAGTGGATTTCAGCTAGAAATTCATTGGGGACGGACATTATCATATGAAGAAAGGACTCTATTTTTTCGTAAAAACTGTGAAATTCCAATTTTATCGTTTCACCACGGAGATTGTATTACTAGTTGGAAACGGCTGATGACTGCATCGTCGAATCCGTTGCGAAACAATTTTAGCCTCTGAAACTATTTTTTAATTTATTTATAAGTAATTGCATGTCATGAAAATCTTGACATTTTGAAGAATTACCACGTAGACACGACTTATGTACGATGAATTGGTCACGATATATCCCAATAAAGGTAGTCGGGATCTACCCTAATACCACCTACATTCATTGTTTACAACCGATGCGTAAATGTTTATTGGAAAAAAGCAAAAAACACGTAATTCTTAATTTTTTGCGAGCAATCGCATCGCGTAAGTGGAACTTAAGTAGGAGTGCTTGTTTAATGGATATTACCAAAGAATGTCACCTGAAGGGTAGTTCACCCCCTTGAGGGGGTGCAACATTACTGAACAATATTGTGTTGTCACCGTCCTTATACAGAATACGTTTATGCAAAGTTTCGTCGAAGTCCCTCCACTGCTCCTACGAAAAATATTTAAAAAAAACGATTTTTCGCTAAACTTTGGGGGGTTGTTTCACCCCTTAATTGTGGACCATTGCAGATATAAAAATGCACGTGTCTCTTAGATTTTTGTATTCTTCAATATATATGAAACTCAATAAGATCGGAGGCGGACACTTCGGAATGTTCCCTTGTGAGTTTGTCTTTTAGGTTTTCGTTGCATTTTCGACGCATTCGCGGGTCGTGGATGATGTTTTTATCGGTGCTCCCATCCCTACGGATTAGATTTTGTCTGTGATAGTCTCGCGAAGGAATTACATGGTATTCTAAATTACTAACTATACCAGCAAAAGAGAGTCGGGATGGATCCGGCAAGGAGCCGGGGGGATTTTCCTCACTTCGACGGATCGCCCAGGGTTCGGTTTATTGTCGATTCGCAAGTGCGCGGTGGAGCCATGTCGAGGCGAGTCGGAAAGGGTTGTTGCCAGTGAGTACTCGTACTCAACTCGTGAGAACTTGTACTCAAAATCGTGCGTTAATGCTAACATTTATTGGAAATTGGTATATGAGCGTATTCCTGAGATCAACTTGCCCGTTTCAGTTCTTAGTTTGGACTGTCGTTCTTTGCGACCGTTATTGCCAAGATTAATTTTCCTGCATTTGCTGTTTCGCGGCCCTGACGATACATGATCATGCTGCCCAATTCTTACTTCACGAATGTTTACGGGGTCATTGCCTTGCGTTTCTTGGTCGTCACTAAATATGGGCATGTAGCTTGGTTATAGGAAAGAGCCTAGCCTAATACTATTTCGGTCATAGACTCGCACCTGCGGAAATGCCGATGCAATATTTCTTAATCGTCGTTTGCGCAAATAAGAAATTATTGGCGCCACAACAGGTTCCTCATTGTCAAGGGGACCTGAGGTGTTGCCGGATTGGTCGATTCTGGGTGCCAAGAGCCAAGTAGCTCCCGAACACCAATATGGAGGACCGTCACTATTATCCTGCCCTACCGATCATATCGTCCCGTTCGGGCCCATCCGAGTGGCCGGAAAGGGGAGCAAACCCGTCGGAGAATGCAGTTGTTTCCGCTCAATTTTATGAATTTTCCCTCCTTTTAGTAGTTAATTCCTCGACGCGTGTTCCACGAACCGAATTGTAAATACCGCAAAGATGTTTAATTTTCTCGACTTGTTAATTTAGATTATTTTGTGTTGCGTTATTCCGTGCTCTCGTATATAAATATCGTTTGTGACCCTCCAGTTTATTGTTTATTTACTCGCCGAACCAGATCTAGTCCAAGTATTGTTTTGGGGTCCGGGTGCCGTTAGATCGAACGCTGTACCCAGTTTTTCCTTTCCGGAATGCTTAAGGAAAACTATCGGTAATAGATGGCTCCAACTCTGTATCATTGGTGGTGGATTTTTAGAATTGCGCCGGTGGGGTCCAGAAGAAGGGTCAATAAAAAGTTCCCGACAAATGTTATTGTCAAACTTTGATTTTTTAATTTATTTTCACCAACCAATTCAAAATTCTCTCACTTGCTCCGTGTTTCTCGCGTGAATCCCCCGACTTACCATGCTGCACGTATTCTTTCATGGAGTCGTGCGGGGTTGAGTGGCCGTCAATCGGAGCCTTTCCACGGTTTCCTGCGACCGAGCTTGGACGCCTTCAGCCGGGATATTCAGAGGGTTTCCGGTATATCGAAGCTTTCGGACTTGCTGCAGATTTTCAGCAGATACGCTCGAAACTGGTCTGCATCAAATCCATACGGACTTTATAAAACTGGCCAAAAACTTCAACTCGGGCTCTTTCGTGCCTAACCAAACATTCAATATTCGGCGCGATAGCATTCCCTCTCTTGTCCGGGCCGAACAGTATTTTGTAATTAACAGTTAACAAAATTAACTTAACCTAACTTATGTTTAATGATTGCCGAAGGAACCTCCCACAGGCTCGGACCTCTCATTGTGATGGAGCACCGTTGCCATTATGTCTAAACGTTAGTGAACATGACCGATAATTATCTGTATTGTAGCAAAAAGAAGAGAACAGAGATTACTCCGTTAGATGACCTGCTTCCAAAGTTACTTGATGCCGGAACCGCAGGTGCCACAGATAACGGCAAGATAAGGTGTAATGCTGTGAGAGCAATTGGTAGTACCCTCTTTCTATCCACACATAGAAATATTTTGAAGGAAACTTCTGCGGGACTGCACGCCCTCGTGGAGTGCGCTTCCGTTGGCAGTGATATGAAGGTAGGCTATGATTTTGAAGTGAAACTTATTATGATATGGTGGTGCAAATTATGAAAGGGACCCGTATCGGAAATGGTCATTTCGATCCCTTTTTCGCGGTTAATTACTATTTACATTCGTCTTTATGTTTTAGTATAAATACAATAAGTGTACATTTTATTTTTACAGTTCATTTCTTTTTATAATCATCTTTTCGTGTTAGTATAGAGACAATTTTCTTAAACGTTTTCGTTAGTGGTAGTCTGTTTCTCTCTGAGTTAATTATCGACATTTAAATTGAAATAAAACTAAAACAAATCAAAAATAAAAATGATTATGTCGAAATAACGCAGTATCGAATAAATGAGGACATTTCCAGAAAAAATTATAAAGTATTATTATTAATATTTAATAATCCTCTTTAACTAAGGACTTTCACTTTGAACGCACGTGGCGGTAGCGTATCGATTAGTTATTCAAAGCAGATGTCGCAAAGCCTAATTAATTGAGAAATTTATCTCAGAATTTACTGTCGATTATTTATATGCTGCAATATTTAGGATATTAACGGTTTTGAGACATAGAAGTAGTCCATATGACCTATGCAGTCGTGTGCATAAATATTCTAAACCACGGCTCATCATAATTTGTACATTATAACTAATTCGAGTTGAATAATGCAAAATCTAATTGCTGCCTAACAATTTTACCGTTATATAAATTTTAATCTTCAAAATAAAACTTTTTATGCGTTCTCAAGGTCATATAATTAAAGAGGGCGCTTACCATTTCCGATATCCCTCATTCTTATTCTCCTGTTATCTTGTATTGCAATTTCTTTGTAAATACTTATTTCTAATAACCGTTAATGTTAACTTAGAGAAAGGGTGTAGTCGGATAAGCATGTGATTAACGTTCCTTCACCAAAGTACACTTGGCATAAATGAATTATAAAGTTGCTACCAACAATCGACTTTATCCAAATTTCAACTCTATATCTTACAAGGAAACATTCCCAAGTATCCCACCCCGATTTCGATAATTTTTATATACGTTGTAGAACTCGGACACCTAAGGGACACGTATTTCTTTTTACGTGCTAACAAGGAAGGTACCTGAGGTTTTCCACTTCGATTTTGTTCATTTTTAAATATGTTATAGAGGACTAAAATCTAAGGGACCCGTGTTTTTTTTTATTGGCGGATAAACACTTTTAGGGGGTGAAATCAGGCTTCAAAGTTTGCCGTGTAAGGGGGTGAGTTGGCTGTTTCATATAGAAGCACTCGACCGATTTTCATGAAACAACCGTCAAAATGTGGGGAATAAAGAATTATAAAACATTGTTATCGTACGGGGTTTCTTCCTTGACAAGGGGTCGCGTCAGAGGCGACCCCGTGCTGGCGACGGGGTGGTCGCGCCCCCATACTCGCCCCCAGCCTCCGAGGATTCGTCCCCGAAGAGCTACTCAAGGAGGCGTCGTCGGGAGCAGCGGCGGCGTTTCGGGCGAGAAACCAGCCCTAGGGTCTTTCCGGGGGTGCGAGGGAAACCGTCCGGGCGGAGGTCGAGATCGTCCTCGGGAGGTACAGCCGGCGAGTTGGTCCCTAGAGGTAACGGCGGCGGCGGCGTTGACGGGACGGCGGCGAGGTCGATGGCGGCCTTGTCCTCGGGGAGGTTCGCCGTCCTACCGCGACCGACGGGCGGATCAGTTTCCCGCCCGAGCCCCGCGGGTCGGTCCCCGCCGACGAGGGACACGAGAGAATTAATCCCCTCCCGGACCGTCGGTCCTCGGGACGAATCCCGTGTTTGCGGAGGAACACGAGGAGCCGGCGCTCCTGGAGGCGTTTGCCCGCGCGTTTTCCGCGGGCCCGGGGCATCCGTGGACGGAAGGCGGCGCAGCTCGGGGCGACGGCGTCCGTAGACAACCCTCGGGGAGCTCCTATCCGCGAGCGAGACGAGGAGAGAGAGAAGGTGAGAAGGAGAGAGGGAGTGGGAGAGGAGGCAGCTCCAGGGGAGCGCCAACTCGCGAGGGAAGGAAGATGGGTGGAAAAAGTTCAGTGAGAATTACTAGTCGACGTTTCGGTTAAGTTCGGGAGACCGACTGTCGTTTATTTAAATGTTGGGCCCTCTTTATGTAGTGAGGGGTCCAACGCGTTAGCCAATTAGAGAGCTACTTAGGGGACCTCTCTGTCTATTTTACCTATGAGTATTTACCGCGGCTACCCGGGCGGCGGCCGCACCCTTCGGTTTCTCGGCGCGGCGCAGGCCAATTCGGGGGAGCGGTAGCGGCGCGGCGGCTCGGGCCTGGTCGCCGCGGCGTCCAAGGTGCGAGCCTCGCGACGCCACGCATGGCACCTGGGGTTCGGCCCGACAGGATATGTGGAGGGAAAGGAGAGAATGGAAGGATCGGGAATTTGGTGGAAGGTTGGGTGGACGCGGAGGGTGGCGCGCGCTTGCGCCACCGTGTTGCTGCTCCCCGCCTCCCTTGGGGCCCGGTCGGGCCCGCTCAAGGGATGTCGAAGGGTTGAGTCAACCGCCATCGACCATAATTCGTGAGATCCCGTGAACCTCCGCGGGGTGGACCCGAAAACTCCTCGCGTCACCCTCGCGAACTAGTCGCGGGGGCCCCGTTACTTGGGGCCGCGGCTCGGGTTTTTCCACCGGCTGCGCGGACTGGCTAACGGGACCCGTTGCCAGTCGTCCGGAAAACCCGGCTGTTAACGAGGAACGGCAGTTTTTGGCAAAGGGGGTCATAAACTGTTTTGTAGGGAGATTACCGGGTTTGTAGAGGACCCGACCCGGGCGCGCGGCGAATGTGTCCGGCCTGGAACTGGATCGGGTGAGTGGGATTTTTGAGGGACATTGTCGGGCGGTTCGACCCTCGGGTGCGGAATTCCCCTTATTGACCGGGTTCGCGACATGCATTTGGAATTTTTCGAAAAAATTCATTTTTAAGCGGTGTGCTACCCCTTTGAATACTTCCTTTACCCCTTACGCGAACAGTAATTGCTCTATCCAAATGAAACTTGGTTAATTTATAGACCAGAACAATACCAAAAAAGTTTCATTTGGATAGAACAATTACTGCTCGCGTAAGGGGTAAAAGAGGCACTCAAAGGGGTGGCTCACCCCTTAAAAATGAATGTTTTCAAAAAATTCCAAATGCATGTTTCATAATTCTTCATTCCCTACATTTTTACGATTGTTGCATGAATGTCGTTCGAGTGCTTCTATATGAAACGGCCAATTCACCCCCTTGCACGGCCAACTTTGAAGCCTGATTTCACTCCCTAAAAGTGTTTATCCGCCGGTAAAAAAAAAACACAAGTCCCTTAGACTTTACTCCTCTATAAACATATTTAAAAATGAACAAAATCGGAGGGGGACACCTCAGGTACCTTCCTTGTAAGATTGGTACCTAGGGGGTGAAACAACCCCTCAAAGTGTGATGAAAAAATCAATTTTATTTTTTTTCCATAGAAGCGCTCCACGGATTTCAATGAAACTCGGCATAAATATATCTCGTGTAAGGAGGATCCAGAAACGATACTACCCTACACGGTATCAATATTTTTTTTCTTTTTTTTTTCGGCGACAAATGATTTGATCAAAATAAAAACTGTATGCTGTTAATGCTTGCATTAAATAAGAGTTTACGTGTTTTTGGTTTTTTCCGAAAAATCACTATTTGACACTATAATTATTAATCAAGGGCAGGTGGTGACTTTTATATAAACACCAGACAGATTCACATTAAACTCGGTATGAATATATTTCGTGTCGGTAGGATCTATAAACGGTACCGTCCGACACGGGAGCATTCCTCTAAAGGGGTGAACTACCCTTGAGAAAGAAAGACATTTTTTTTTTCGAAGACAATTCATCCTCCTGGAATAGAAATTTCACGACGAAGATTCGCATAAAAAATAAAGGTTCTCGTGTTTTTAGTTTTCTTTCAAAAACCATTATGTAACGTGGTAAACGTATTTCAATGACAGAAAGTATGTGAAATACCGTATCTCTGTCCGGTTGCGGAGTAATAATTTTATTCAACCATTTACATCATAGGCATTGTTTTCTCCGAAATTTCTTTCGGCCCGTACATATAAATTATCATTCAGTCCACAAATACAAACCTTATCCTACATAAATTGTCTCACAATACATTGTACAACGTTTTCGTCATGGATTAAAAATAAACCACTACGCCGTTCTTTATCACATGTCTTCGCGAGTTCAAAGATAAAAATGGATCAGTTGTCTCTGGCAAAATACGTACGGAGGACTTGTAAACAACGCCAACATATATATTGTGACGTGTCGGAGGTACGCGACGCGACACCTATGNACTGATGAAAAGTGCTTAGAGGCTGAGGCTCTGTGCCGTTGAAAGCCCTAGCCAATCTGAGACTGCCAAGAGGAAATCCAGGAAATTGCCAAAAGGCAAATCTCATAACTTCCTCGCGACCGCCCGATTGCGCGACACGACGCGACCGAACAAGGGGGAAAGGGCCGGTACGCGAGAAAAGTTACAATATATATATATTGTAACGCGATTTTTCCTCCATCTGAAAAATCTCGCGCACCTTCGTCGATCCACGCTCTCGCCTCCCTCCCCGTTCTCCGACTATTCAATGGGCGCCAGTTGATTTTTGGGTCCCCGGAACCAACAAACCGGTCTAAGCAGAATCGTAACTCGTAATTGCAAACCTATCACCTAAATTTTATCACGAAACGGAGAGAAGAGCGGCGAGAGAGGACTCGGACGGCATGTCCCGTGTCGCTCAGGAGGCAAGTTGTGGAGAATTAGGGTCGGGGTCGTAACTGACCTAAGGGAGTAGGTGACAAAAGCTACACTTTAGCGAAAAATGGAAAAAAGTGGTATATTCTCAGATAATGCCGGATACTCTAGTACATCTTTTTACGCGATCGTACATCGCGGCCGGAGAAGAGGTTCTTCGGGGATCGTCCTCGGATCTCCCTAGGACGCGCAGGTGTCCGTAGTGCCACGAGCCTCGACCAAT